CAGAGCCATAACGAGGATTGTAGTATATTGGGCCTATACTTGGCGCCAACTATTTATGGAACCCCCGAATGGGAACCCCCCCATGAACCCCGAGCTTCCACTTCATGTTCTGTGTTCTTTGCCATCTGATTCCAACTATTGTGATGAGCCCAAACAACCGCAGGAGCCCCCCTATATTGTCCGAGGCCACTCCAAACTTAAAGAATGTCGCCGGAAGTTCTACCGGCCGTCCCCGCTTCCCTCTCTCGCAGACGCAAAGACTCTAAGCAAATGTATCTGAGAAATACTTGGGAACATATGGGCTCCGTTGCCTGTGCTTTATCATGGTGAGTAGTGGAGAAGAACCTCACCCTAAACCAGAACACTCAACCCTGAACGCTTGAACCTAACTCCTAAGCGTCACATCCTATCTAAAACCAGACCTCTGACTCCTCAAAACCCTTTCTCGTTAACACTACCACACCTCTTCATCACCAAACGCCCGACCTCCTAAACCATCTTCCCAGTCCCTAGCCTTGAAAATGCACTAGGAAGCCTTCGCCCCCTAAAACATGAATAGCCACCAGAAAGTTGAAGCCAAAACTTTAGGGGGTTTAGGGTTTAGGGTCTAGGCAATCTTGTAGTTTCCTATATTCTGTAACAGTTCTGAGAATATTGTCCCCTGGGAAGGATTGCTTTGAGCTTCCCAAACCCAGTTCGCAAGCCCTAAACCCCACAGCTTCCACAATGGCATCGTAGCCTAGGGTTTATTCAGGGTTTAGGGTTTAGGGGTTTAGTTTCCATTTTTTTTTCACTCTCGCGTCTAAGGTCCCTAAGCGGAGACCCGGAAATGGGCCCCTCAATCTTTCTTGGGTCCCTACCTCTCCACACGTTAGCCACCCCCATGCTAGCCCAAAAACCTATAAGCCCTAAAAGCGCTGAACCTTAAGTGGAACCCCCCACCCTGTAACAGTGACTAGAAGGAATAATACGGATTGTATTAGGGGGTGCTCTTATATTCCTAATTATTATACCGCTATTACACGGTGGGGTCCACCTAAGCTAAACCCTAAACTCTAAGACCCTAAAACCCTAAACCCTAAACCCTAAATCCTAAACCCTAAGCCGTAAACCCTAAATCCTTTACAGATCTTCGCAAGCTCGGCGTCAGCGCGTTCAACTCGGCGCGGAGCTGCGCCTCCACGCTGGACATGTTCACCGCCTTGGCTTGAGGGAGTTTAGGGCTTATGATACAGTTTAGGGCATCTCAAGGTGCCGGGGTTTAGAGCTACATGTTCAGGGGTTGTATGTGCTATGTGGTCTCAGGATCGAAGGGTAGCAGCTCTTATTTGAGGGTATGGGCATGGGCTCTACATTTGAAGGAGTGATTGGGAGTGTGGAGTGTAAGGTCTTGCGCGGCCCGATTTCACATGTCTTCGTGAATTCCATCCAAATTTGTCGCAGATGTACGTAGACACGTAGACACAGAGAGAGAGAGACCCAAAGGGTCCATGTACTTATATGGTATATACTTGGGCTTAAAGTAGGTATATGGGAACCCCTTCCACCCCTAAGTATATACCACATACCTACATGGATCCTTTGGGGACAGTAGGAGAGGGAGCGATAGCATGCCTCAAGCAAACACAAAAACTCGAGCGCATGTATTCATTGCAAAGGCTGCCAGCGCGACGGTCCCAGAACTCATCACGGCACCGCCCATGGGTACCAGTCCATTCTTGACTTGCTGGTTTCGTGGTCTGCGGCAACAGCCACCAAGGCTCTTAATAAGTTTCGGAGGCCGTGTCATGATTCGGGTTTGAAGGTTGAGGCTGTCGAGTAGCATCCTGCATCTGACGTTGCCCTGAAAGAATCCTCCAGGCTCAACAGTCCCCTCCCCCCAAACCCCAAAGACCCAACCCCAGCATTTTCGTAGTGTAACCAGAGCCAACTAGGATCTGGGAGACGTATGCTTTAAATGCCTCAAGCACCCTGGATCTGAAGCCATACTCTAAGGATCCAAATAGCCCAATGTAGGTAATATTTGCAGACTTTAGGGACCAATGTAGGCAATATTTATATACATGGATCCCTAGGGATACTCTTCATGGGAAATCCTGCACCAACCTAAGTCCCCAACTCCAAGGGCTTTTCAACGCTTTAAGTACCCGGTTTAGGGTTGACCCAAAGGGCCCAAAGGGTCCATGTAGGTATATGGTATATACTTAGGGCGCAAAGGAATTCCCATATACTTATTTTAAAGCCCAAGTATATACCATATAACTACATGGACCCTTTGGGTTTAGGGTTTAGGGTAAGTGCAAGATTTCCTCCATAACATTGCGAAATATGCAGCCACAAGAAGACAGATCTGCTGCTGTCAGGTGGCGTTCTGCACGGCCTGGCGGCCAAACCGAGCAACATACCGCTTCCCTCAGTATGAGATCTACAAGGAACCGAAAAATTGTCGTACATCCTTCTGCCGAAAACTGTACGCGAACAAAGATCATGGCGCAGCTTTGTGCCCTGAAGCTAAGCTGAAATTTGGTCAGTTGTCGCAGAAGCCACACATACCGTGCCCGCAGGCGAGGTAGTAGAGCTACCACCATTGCTTTAGACTGATAAATTGTTTGTGCCCTGGACGCCTAGGGTTTGGGGCCACCACATCACTTTTTTATAACGACTAGTACCGGTAGTAATTGAAGCTGCAGAAAAAGCTGCTGCAAAAGCTGCAGCAGCAGTGAGGCAGCCCTAAACACCCAACCCTAAGCCTGAACCCACAGTGCTTCAGTTCTGGGTAGTCATTAGGGTTTAGGGTTTAGGGTTTAGGGCAAAATACAGAGTTTGGGGCGTAGATATACGAGATGATGAGGTATGTCCTGTCTATACCTTTGGGTTTTCCCAGCTAGCCTTTAACCCTACAAGCCACTAATTACATCATGTCACTCCCCATGTTCTCCATCTCTTCGATACGTAGCTATGTACTCCTACATATCCCGATGTACGTCTAAACCCCTACATATCCCGAAATATCCCTATATTTCCCCATGAAGACCACATATACCTCTACGCATCCCTCATTATCCCCGTGTATTTCTATATACAGCTATATGTCCTGAACTCTTTTAGCGTGAACTTCAGTGGCAGCATCCGTCCCTCGAAGCCTTCGTCTGCACCTGCTTCACCGACTGGGCAAACTTCAGCGTTGACAAAGTCTCGTCCTTAGCATTCCTAGTCCCTTTGAGAGGATTGCTATGTAGGGGTATGTACCTATTAAACTCCAAAAGTATGTGAATAATAGCCCTAAACCTTTAAAAATGGCCCAAAAGGCTATAATTCTACATACTTTAGGGGTCCAGGCAAGGATATCTCTGTGATTTGCTGCAAATTCTTCGAGTTCTCCTTCCTCCTGCAGGTCATTGAACTAGCCTCTCCCACGCCCTGTGGTGTGGCACTTTCTCACCCAAAGGGTCCATGTAGGTATATGGTATATACTTAGCGCCCAAAGGGGTTCCCATATACCTACTTTAAAGCCCAAGTATATACCATATAACTACATGGACCCTTTGGGCTCCTGCAGGTCATTGAACTAGCCTCTCCCACGCCCTGTGGTGTGGCAGTTTCTCAAAATGCGGTTACCGCACAATGCTAGGATCCTCATTATAGGGACCCCTTTTTCATGGTACCTCTAATTGTGGGGAACCCCTGTTGGGATTTTTGCTATAACTTGTAGGCTTCACCGTGATGGTCAGGTAATTGTGCAAATATTCAGATTGTGTCTTTTGCTGCAGCTGGTCTGTGACTTGTGTACATATTTACATTCTTGTTTGCAAGGCGCAGACGTCAAGAAAGTCATTTTGATGTTGGAGGTTGACGTCCTGAGAGCTTTTGCAACTTGAGGGCCGTAGTAGATCTAGGCACCGCGTACACCGATATTACTTCCATGTCTACAAAGCCACTCATCAAAATCACATCTTTTTACTCGTGCTTGCCACCAGCACAAGTAGAAGTTCGTTTCGTGGTGCCCTCGCCCACAACGTAGACAACACCGCACTTGCTCCTTCAGTGTAGCATGGACTGGGCTGTGGCGCCAAGCACGCCACAAACCCTGTGTTGCCACAGCTCTGAGCAGCGGCCGAGGCTTGGGATGAGCAAAACAAATCCCCTGTAGCAGCCTCGGAAGCAGGTGGCTACTGAAACGGATGCACAAAGTGTGCAGGCTACATACAGTGCTTCTGCCACCGATCTTCTGAAGCGCCGCAACATCTGGCACGAAAAATACAACCAACCCCGGGATCCCATCAGGAGGCGAGGTCGGTCAGTCCATATTCAAAGCCAAGTTCATGCTGTGTTTTGTAATATATTGGGGTTATTCGTGTACGTTTAATGTATCTTGGGGTATATTAAGGTACTACGGTATATTGGAGTATACGAAGGTATGTTGGGAGGATTTTAAGTAAGTTAGGCGGTACAGCCGCAGACATGACGCCATGGTAGAGTTGCCTTGGCAATCTCGTCGTAGGACTTCAGGTTATCAAGTGGTGTCCTAGGTTCCCCAGTAACCCCTTAATAAAAAGGGTACCCTTTTTCCTACTGTTCTGTTTTAATAAGGAAAGCCCAAAATAAAAAGGGTACCACTGTGGTACCTACCCTAAACCCTAAACCCACTAAACCCTACAATCCTATGGGTAAAAGGGTACCACTGGGGTACCTGGTGTCACTGGGCCCGTCTGGGTCCAAGGCATGGCTTCGCACATTCTCGTTGTCACCTTTCCCAAAGCATCCATGTAGTTATATGGTATAAGGGTTTAGGGTTTAGGGGTTTAGGGTTTAGGGTTTAGGATTTAGGGTTTAGGGTCCATGTAGGTATATGGTATATACTTGGGCTTTAAAGTTGGTATATGGGAACCCCTTTGGGCCCTAAGTATATACCATATACCTACATGGACCCTTTGGGTTTGCTATGCTCTATCCACAGGAAAGAACATGAATCGAAACAGCCCTCAAATACCAGAGACATTTTAAAAAAAACGGCTACTGATCTGCATGGCTGCCATCTGCGCTGCTGCCATGCTGGCCGAGAAAGCACTCCTAGGTTCCCCAGTAACCCCTTAATAAAAAGGGTACCCTTTTGCCTACAGTTCTGTCTTAATAAGGAGAGCCCCAAAATAAAAAGGGTAAAAAGGGTACCACTGGGGTACCTAGACTCATAGCTGCAGCTGTGAGCTTCATCTTGGCGGTGTCACAAGTAGCCATGCAGATGAAACCGGTGGTGAGGGCCTGTTGCTGAGGCTCCTCTGCAGGATCATCCCACTCAAGGTCGCAAATTGCCCGGTGCCAATTGAAGAGGGCTTTGGCGACTGCATCTGGCTTGTACAGGTCGAGCGAGTTGGTCTCCGTCCGGTTGCCGAAGAAACAGGCAGTTGGCAACTCCTTCTTGGCCGTCCTCACAAACTTTGAGGGCTGCGATGTGGAGGGCAATTGGGCAAGTGCCTTCAGGACGGCATCGACTCGTTCGGGGTTGTGATGCCAGTAATCGTAGCCATCCAGTCCAAAAGGACCAGAACCCGGTGATACCACGGCGCGGCAAGTACCGTCTGCGATTGTTGCACGCCCAATGAGGTCCTGCAATGTTGCGGGGACACCCACATCCTTGAAGTGCTCCAGCCGCTCGAAAATGGCACTGTCCAAGAAGACAGGAGCATTGGGTGCAGTGGGAGCATTGACTGCCATCGCCTGGCCACGGAGAGACGGAGCAGAGATTACCACCACAGGGAGCTGCGCATCGCTGCCCGATGTATCCTGGTTAGTTGGAGAAAGCAGAGGATAGGCAGCGACGGGCGGCACCCATCCAGCCAGGAGGGCTGCGGCCAGAACAGGAACCATGGCTCTCTAATGAAGCACACAAGAAACTGGACCTGCAAATCTTGGCTTTGAATATGAGCCACCGCACGTGCTTCTTGCGCCTACCTGGTTTTCGCGGAGATCTGACGTCGTGAAGCAAGAATCGCTAAACGATCAGCGCTCACAAGCTTGACGAAGCCTCTGAAGAGCCTGAGAGCTTCTCTCCGTAAGGGTCCAACGACCCAAGTAAAAGGGCGTTAGGGACCAAATACCACAATATCAACGGTATTTGGGCCCTAAAACCCCATTATTTGGGTCCTTGGACCCTTAGGGTCTGCTTTGAATGACAAGGGAACGGTGCAGGAATTCTACAACTTTTGCTTTCATCGCGAAGTTTTTAGGGTTTAGGGTTTCAGTAATCTTCTGTTGTACTTCACATCTGAATGTGGCAAATGCTAGTGAGCAAGGATACGGGCTCACTGACAACACGAGCAGTAGTACTTTAGCATGTCCCAAATTCCTTGCAAGTAGTAATTTCCATTTTATGTTCCATTCTCCCAACATAACCCCAACAAAACCTTAGATATTACCCTAGTATTACTCCAATGGGCACCTATATCCCCAAATCAGATGTACCAATTAGTTTTTGTAAGCGCTTGAATCCATGTGTCAAGTCCTGGGTGAAGTCTCAGAGCTGGAAGCAAGCTCCACCATAACAATCACACGGTTTAGGGTTTAGGGTTTAGGGAAGTCTCGACAACAGGAGGAACAACAAGAAACGTCTTAGAAGTTAATTATTACCCTAGGGATCCAAATAGCCCAATTCAGGTAGTGATGTATCGTTTGTATACTGGGGTGATGGCAAGATTAGATGCGGGACTTCAGCGCGCAACAAGGAAGGTAAGGGGTCTAGATTGGATCAGATGGGCATGCAGCCGAAGGTGAGTAGGGATCGCATCACGCATGCTACATGAGCTACAGTCTAAACTCCTAGTATCCCATCTAGTAAGCCCTATAAATAATAGGAACCCTATAAATTCCCCTAAATGTGCTTCCATCTAAGGAGCTTAGACTGTAGCTCATCTGGAGGCCATACAGGGCACTAACACTGGCAGTATCAACCATTTAGTAGACGCAGGCATGGTCCTCATCATCAGATCATCATCATCATCATCATCACCATCATCGTAATCTCATATACGTAGTATATACCCCTAAAACCCTAAACCCTAAAGTAGCATTATGGGCAACCCTTCAGGCCCTAACTATATGTTATACTATGCCCCTACACGGACTCCTTGGGATCATAATCATCATCAGTACGCCCACGAGCCAGTGATACTAAACCCCACACAAGTTTCACTGCCAAGCTCAGTGGGTACACTACGAAAGCATTCCTATCCACCCCTCTATGCTTATGTATGTATGGGGGTTTCCCACAATTAGGGGCACCTTTTGGGTTGTCCCAATGATAAGGACTTTAGTATTTGGGGGTCTATATTAGGGTCCCGTTATTTTGGGTAACTACCATGTACATACAGATAGGTCTCCTTCTCTCTCTCTCTTCCTCCCTCCCTGCCTCTCTTTGAACCCTTGACCTACCTAGCTGCCAGGGGGCAAAGTCCAAGAAGTTGGGGGAGATTGCCGCCATCATGACAGTCTTAGAGTTTCCACAGAGAGACTCCTCGCGGAATTGCAGTCTGTTTCGTAGGGTTTGAGGGCCATTTCGCTTTAGAGTCAAGCTTCCTCCTTGAAATCAAGGAAATTGGGACCCTCAGAGACTGTAAATTTGCATCGTAGTGAAGACTTCGGAGTTCGCCTTTACAGAGTGTGGGAAGATTGCAGGGGCTTCTTCTTCCTGAGGTTTTCATACGGGCTGATTTTTGTATCCCCTGCACGAGTGATGATGTCACGCAGCTGGCACTGGAGATTTTGCCTGAGAACTGTCAAAGAAAGGTGGCAAGTTTGAGACATTCCCAGATACTTCCTAAAAACTTGCTGTTCAACCCATGTAAATCATTCAGAGCTATACATTTCTGACTCACCCCTCGCATGCACCTCAATCGTATATGCGTGATACCTCATATGTGAAGTATGAACAACAAGATGTGTCGAAGGAGTTTTTCTTTTAAAGTCTCTATCGGACCATGCGTCTGTACAACCCCTGAGCACAGACGCTAAGCCCTTCAACATGGAAACGAATAGCCTTTAACTCAGCAATTTATGGGCAGGTAGGCAAATATCATGGGAAAAAAGGAGGTTTAGGCAAACCTGAAGCCCCCAAACCCCATTTAAACCTTAAAGCCTAAGCACTATAAACCCTAAACCCTGCATGACGTAGGGGGTGAGGCATGTAAGAATATAAACTCGGACCTGTCCTTGAGGAGGTTTAGGGCTCAGGATGCCCAAAACGAGGAGGCTTAGGGTTTAGGGTGCCCAAAACGCCCTATTAGGACTATTGAAGCCTATTTGGGGAGCTTGATTTTGGGGGACGCCTCTAGGGGGACCACCCTAATCTTCAACCCGGAACTGTCCCTAAACCCTAAAACCCCTAAACCCTAAACCCCTAAACCCCTTAACCCCTAGTCCTTGAGGATGTAGGTCAGTTTGGACTCCCGAAAGGGTGGGTTGGCCTTCCTCAGGCTACAATGACATTCGCATAGAGTCCATGTAGTTAGATGGTATATACTTGGGCTTTAAAGTAGGCATATGGGAACCCCTTCGGGCCCTAAGTATATACCATATACCTACATGGACCCTTTGGGATTGGTTTCAAGGGTGCCAGGACCTTCCTTGTACCCTTAATTGGGGATATATGGTCCCTACTAGCAGGTACTTAGGCCCTAATAGAGGGAAGGAGGAGGGTCGAGGTGCAGAGTTTGTTCCAACTACTTAGCGCTTGGGGGGCTACCATTGCGGCTGCTGTTTATCCCCTGGGTCGTGTGTTCAATGACCGTGCAAGAACGTCGACTATATCTTGCAGTTCCCCTACGAAAGGATATGGACTCCATGTGCGCATGGGGCTTAGTGTTTAGGAGGCTCTGTAGGATTTGTGATCCAAACATTTGAGGTCATGTAGCTCCGCATGTGACACCCTGCAGCCTACACCTCAAGCCTAAACGCACAAGCCGAAACCCTAAACCCGCAACCAAGATCCCTCCCCTACAAGGTGATATCATTGGGCACACCCCAAAAAGGGACCCATGTTTTGGAAATCCCTCATTTAGAATCCGGGGTGCGTGGAGTTGTCTATTGCTTGGGCACTGCCCCCACCCAATAACAGTTGGATAGTAAGTATAGCGTAACTCTCATATGAATATATACATCCCTTAACATGACCTCTATTCTAGACTGTAACAGTCGGATGGTAATTCTAATATGACTATATACAACCCGAAATATTCTCCCCAACGTAGACTTTTTCTACTGGGTGGGGGTAGTCTCACTCTATTGCTTAGGAAGGTCGCAAAGTCTAGACCTGAAGGTCCATGTAAGTAAGAAATAAGAACATTGGGGTGAAATGGGGTTCCCACATAGCTACCTTGAGGCCCGAGTATATATTCTGTTGCTACACGGACCGTTTGGGTTTAAGTGCTTGTTAGGGGAATTCGTGGGTCATGAACTTGGGTCCCTAAGCCCCAAACCCTAAATATGTACTATAGTAGTTTCCATTTTCTTTTCCATTATCCCCATATTATTATAGTTTATTATGGTATATTATGGTAATATAAAGCCTGTCCATTGGGTCCTGATTCTCAGGTCTCAGGTCCAGGTTCCGGTGTTTAGAGTTCTAGGCCACTGGGAGAAGAGACTCAAAAGTTTGTTGATCTCAGCGCAGCAATGCATGCCACCTTAAATGACAAAGTCAAAACTGATCAAACGCAACAAAAATTCTACGCGTACACATGGGCAGACACACAGCATATTGAGGAACCGTCAGCAAGAAGTGAAATGTAAAATAATTCCCAATCCCGAGCCCTACACCCTAAGGGTCGAAGTCCTCAATAGTTCACAACTTCCCCGAAACCTTTACGACAAACACTGATAAACCCATATGCCAGCCCCAATCCCAGGTTTGTTTTCATCTATTGGGGTACTCTGGCCCTCAAACGCTTAACCCTGTATCCTGATATGTCTTGATATAATCCTATACATCTCTGTATTTGTCTCCAAGCCCAAAGGGTCCATGTAGGTATATGGTATATACTTAGGGCCCAAAGGGGTTCCCATATACCTACTTCAAAGCCCAAGTATATACCATATAACTACATGAACCCTTTGGGTTACCCCCACCCACAGAAGAGTCAAGCAAACTAAACCCCCTAGAACCAGAGTAGGAAGTATATAGGGCTTATTTTGGGCCTAAATAAACCCTAAACACTATACCCCAGACCCTAACCCCCATAAACCCTAAGCCCTTAACCCGAAACCCTAAGCCCTTAACCTAGACTCTCCAACGGGTCTGGATGGAGAAGCCCAGCTTCTTCTTGCTCTTCGAGGACTTGGCTAACTCCGAGATGACCCTGGAAAATCAGGGATTAGGCTTAGGATTTAGGACATAGGGTTTAGGATGGTTTAGGCTTTGGGGTTTAGGGTTTAGTTTGGGGTTTAGGATCCAGGGTTCGGGTTTTGGGGTTCAAGATATAGGGCTTAAGGTCCCAATTTAGACGGCGCCTCTTAGGCATCCTTTCCAAGAGGGTGGATATGTGTATGGCTCTATGTGTATATCCATACAGCAATTGCCCAAAATAGGAGGGACACCCAATATAGACCACCAAAATATTTCACATGTTTTATTATAGGGATCCCCAAAAAAGCTACCAAATATCCATGTAACAATGTAAATATGGAGAGTATGGGGTTCAGCGAGCTGTAGTTTGCCTGAAAGC